ACTTGGAGGTTGCACGCCTTCTCCTGCAGGCCAGTGCAGACAAGGACAAGGCTAAGCAGAATGGCCTCACTCCTTTGCGCATAGCAACTAAGAGAGGACATCGGGAGCTTGCACGCATTTTGCAAGAGTCGTACTTGGACACGACCAAACGCAGAAAAGCGCTGGTGTTGCTAAGAGTTGAAGCTTCAGGGTTTTTAGGGCTCAAGGCTCCAGAGGATGTTTGGGGTTGAGCGTTCATGGGATTTGCAAGTGCATGTCCGTCTTCTTGACACTCTCTCTCTATCTCTCCCCCTCCCCCTCTCTCCCACTCTCCCTCTCTCTCTATGCAAATGTATATATGAGAGTGCCTCTGCATAATCTATATCAAGTCGCGACGAGTTTGAGTTTGAGTGAGAACCTTGCTGAGTATGTACATCTATATATGTATACATATATATATATATATGTATACATATATATATATATATGCAATTATATACATATAGATAGAGAGAGAGATCAGATATTTCGAACACACGACAGCCATACCTTGAGACTATTTCCCGAGAGAAGGCAGGGAATCTGCTTGATTGTCCAGAAGCATAGCATTTACGGCAACGTGTGCTGCCCCAGATGCCCTGCTTGAAGGTATGGTGCTTGACGCAGAAGTGGACTGGGGCGACACTGTCCAGAGCGACGCTTCGTGGCACCTTTCCAAGGGGATGAAGCCCTTGAACTTGCCCTTCGTGCACGTTGAAAGCAGTCCCACGTACCACTACCGACCACAGGTAGGATTGCGCAGCTACATACTTTGCGGTGTTTGAGGTCACGGTTGGGTCCGACGACCGCATTGCGGCCTGGGCCGGAGATCGAAGGATGTGCAGCATCCGTTTGAAAGGCGCCGTCCCTCAACGAGGGTTGGGTGTCATGTTGGTACTGGAGTCGAGATGCAAAGGGAGTTGCAACCGGGGCGCGCTTGAACATCCGTATAGCAACAAGATGAAAACTGAGGGAGCGGCAGCTTCGTAACTTCTATTTCCGGCGTTCGGTTGGTCGGAGTGTGCACGTTGCCATGGATCGTGTGCTCTCGCTCACTGGCTATGCATTGGATACCACTTCTCGGCTGGCAGGTCTCCCCACATAGGACAAGAGACAAGGCTCTACTCTAGACTCCAGACCCACAGGCGACGGAGATCTCGACGACCTGGTGGATGCCGGCTTGGAGGTCCATTGGGAGTCGAATCGCCTCGTGGCCTGTTGGCCGCTCGGAGGCGGAACTGTGTTGGCTTGGCGAGTGGGCAGCTTCAGCCGTGCAGCAGGATCGATATTAGTCTGCTGTTGGCCCCTAATTTCCGTATCTAAGAGCCCCCTCGCCTCGGATCGCTCAGGAACTCTGCCATTTGGCTTTGGAACCTGTGCAGTGGCAGCGCCCTGCATGTGCTGCGGGCTCCTGTAGGCTCCGAACATGTTATGATGCATTCGGGTTCGTGGACATGTACTAAACCGAAGGGGGAGAGATACAATCTAGCGGTGTTGTGTTCTGCTGAAGAGCTACCCTGTGGGTTGAATCTCGAGAGGTAGCGATGCGTGCGACCATGTTGCGAAGGTTGCTTTGGATTGGGGATTGCAGACTTCTTAGCGCGCATTTCTTGAAGCGAAGAAGCTTTCGTTGGGTTCGTGCACATGCAAGCGATTAGCACGTCCGTAGACTATCTGAGACCCCAATACTGCGAGCCCTATCCGGCTTGTCCGAGCGTGAGAGGGCAAAGGCTGTGTATGTTTCGGGTTGGAGTTGTTCTTGCAGTGATTCTTAGGTTGAAGGAAGGGCTTGAGATTGGACTTGGTGAGGGGCAGGCTTGGGTTCTTGAGTCAGGAGGGTCTGCCAAGATCGGAGTGGAGTTCGTAGTGCACATACACATATACTTTCATGGTTGCTGTTATTAAGCAGTGGAGAATGGCTTTCCGCAGGCCGCATCAAAGGCTTCAATGTGGACTGGGACTCGTCGCGCTGTCACCTGCCTAAGCATTGGCAGCTTTTTTGCGCCTTTTTCACTGAAAAACAAAGGCCGCTTCTTTTGATTGACATCCCCTTGTCACGAGCAACGCCTCTTCGAAAAGAGGAGCCGTGCTTCCCAACTTCTGGTGGACATGTGTTGTATCACTCTGGCCGTGATTGGACCAAGAGGTTAGAGCTTCCAACTGAAAGCTTGGCATAGGTACAGATCAGGATGCACTACTTGTGGAGCCGTTCAGCCAGCTCCGGTGCAAACATACGAGAACATCGAAGCGTAGTTCTCCCATCGCAGTTCGTGGCAATCGAATCGAAGGCGTGGCATGGGGATCAAGCGGCCAGTGCCTGCTGTGGAGCCTTGCTACTGGCCAACTACTCGAGAAACTCGTTGGTCCTGCTTCGGCCAGAGTCTCGGAGTGGCAGCTTTTGTTGCGACCTTGCAAGCGGTCCCAGTGGTTCGCTGTCTCCCATACTCTGCGAGTGACGATAGCCGCAATGCAGGTATCGAATTACAATCCACAAACCTGAGTGCTGAAGATGTAGGACGCAAGCTGCCACTAACTCCTTCCACGAACTTATGACTGAAGGACCCTGGTCGTCGAGGTATGCCAGTAAAGCGGCAATGCAGGATCAAGGGTAAAGCAGCCTGATTTTGCTTTCAGGCGATTTCGGGCCTGGCTTGTTGCTGGGAGACCGAGCGAATTCTTAGCTTCGGTGCTGGGCCGCTCTGCCTTTGGACCTTTGGACAGCAAGAGATAGCTGCAGGTACATGGGCATTTCAGGCGGTATAGGCGGTGAAGCGAGAGCGTGCAAAGAAGTGAATCACCCGGGTAGTGATGGACTTGCAGGGCTTTGCTGCATTTTGATGCGCGAGAATTTCTGTGGCCTGTGGCCAGCCATGTGCTATGCGGACCCGTTTGGGAAGTGTTCGAATTTCCAAGCGACCAGCATTGAGTCGCGTGTGTCGGCACACATGTGTTTGTGTTCATCGCTCCGTCTCTCTCGACATGCATGGTTCTGCATGCACATATGGGCACATATAGATGCAGAAGTGAAGAAAGAAGCAAACATCAGCATATGTACCACGTAGTTAATTATGTGTCAGTGTGTCATATTGTGTTGTGTTGTACTATATTACATTGCTTGCGGCTTACGGTACATTTTTCTGTTCTGTTATACAACTTAGATAGTCTTGTATTATATTTTGGTGTTTTCGTAGTTCCAGTGTATTCGTTTATCATTATGACATACGAGGCTATGCTACATCGTGTTCTATTACTGTATACGATTTCCATGTTAGACCGCACTGTATCGCGGTGTACGATATCGTATCTTGTACTTAAAGTGGTCGCACAGGTGGCAGGCCAAGTTGTCGACGATGGTAATACTATATCATGTGGTTTTTCTCTATACCAAATTATGTCATATGTAATGTAATGCAATGCAACGTAATGTAATGTAATGTAATGTACCGCAAACGTAGTATGGTGTAATGTAGTGTAATAACCCTCTGCAAGGTAGTGACCTGCAACTTGGTGCAATGCATTGCAAGATAGCGTGATGTGGTGTACTGCAGTGAGGCTGTGGCTGTGGCTATAGCGGGGTGAGTGGGTGGGTGCATGGGCGGTTTTTGCATCCAAATGTGTGGCTTGATTCGTGTATCCATTCTGCCCTCTCCTCACTGCCATGCGACACGATCTCCATCAAACATAGAAGTGCTTCAGTTCAGCCCACGACGAGGAGCCTCACGCCTGGGCCCGCACGGCTTTCTGCAGAGCTGCAGGGACACAGCGATGTTGTCGCAGGCGTTGAGGTCGGACGTTCGCTTGTGGGTTGCACTTTCCAGTTTTAATTAGTCTTGTGATCCGTTTTTGTAAGCCAAACGTATTGGATCAGCTGTCTGGCACTGTAATTTCCGGATTAAGTGAGCTAGTAAAATATCGTACTTACAATACCATGGCACCTAGTGCACGGCATTGGTGGGGGGATGTGCTGGCAAACGCATAGACGAGTTTTGAGCAATAGAAAGATCAAACACAAAATCAACCGGGCAATACTTAACAAGCTTGGCCGAGAACAAAAATCCATGTAACCACATTCGAAGCTTTGCTATCGCGGCCTGGGAACATACAACTCAGGGAGTCCAAGCGTATCCTGCCAGAAGCAGTAGCACCACCACAAATGGCGTTGGGAAAGCTACTTGGGTTACGAAGCATACACACACATAAACTTACAGAAATACTGCTGCAAGAACGGGATAAACAGATGACGGCAAGATGCTGCTGCTAAAAGACAACCCACAGCACCATCAAATCTTGCCTTCTACATGGGAAAAGCGGCAGCCCCAGGCTCTTGAGACCCGGCCCCAAAGCAGACTTCAGGGTTCAAACGCGCATCTGCGGTCCTGTTTGGATTTCGGAACATTGTGCAAGGTGTCCTGGGAGGTGGACCGGGCCCTCAGCTGGGCAGATGACACGACCCTTCGGCTGTGGGACCTAAAGGACGAGATGGGGACCTGTAAGTTCTCAATAGACGGGTGGCAAGCGCGGGGTCGAGCACTTCAGTGGCACACCCTTGGTGGCGAACTGCCCAGATGCTCAAGCCAATAAGCCGGCAAGAAGTACTTTGGGCGAGGAGCACTCATGCCTTTTCCGCTTCGCTGGTCACTGTGGGCCTGTAGCCCGGCTTGCATGGTTTTGAGGTTTGGGCTTATGGCTTATATGCACGCCCTGCTCGTTATGGGCCCCAAAGAGTCTGTTGGCCGACAGAGACTCCCTCCAGCTTCGGGGAGAGGTACCCTTGATATCGCGCCTTTTCCAAAAATGTGCAAACAGAGGGTGTAGCAACCCCTCTCCGATCCTCGGCCAGGGCCCGTTGGCTCTTCTTGTTCGTGCTTCCCTTGCGGTGGTGTCAATCAAGAGCCTGACACGTTTCCCTGTTGCCTCGTTTGTTCGCAGTCGGGAATACAGATGTGCAGTCTTGCTTCGCCTTTGCTTTCCCGAAAATCCGGGCGGCTGCCTGCCACAAGACGTGAACACCTTTCTTTTATGAGTACCTGGTGAGCTTGCTTGCTGCTTCTTCAGGCTGAAGGGTACAACGACCACAGAGCGGAGTATCCGTTAACCGTTAATCTTTGCGAACCTACTACACAGATCCATGCTCCGCCGCTGCATGTGCAGTCATTCTTCTAGGTATGGTCTGCCCAAGTGGACTGGGACAGTGGCCGTGCAATGAGCTACAGCAACCTGGTGTGCAGGAAGTCATGAAGGCCAGGGCTTGAAAGTACTTGGAAACCTTTGCTCTTTCGCCGGCATGAAATGACATGACCTTGCAGGCCGTTGCAGGGAGGAGCACAGTCAAAGGATGTTTTGAGAATGGTTAAGGCCAAGGCAGAGATGCAGAAGAACAACTGCCAATGCTGACGTAGCGTTCGCTCTCGAGGGTGCCACTAGATTTGTCTTATAGATCGACTCTGGGCCATGTGAGCAAATGCAACCTGAAAGAAGGGATGCTTCTCTGCTGCAGGGGTCCTGGGTTCCGAAAGCTGAGACAGGCGACGTAGAACAAAGTCCTGCGTGTGCCAGGATAGATAGCTCCCCGAAGCACGGACTCCTGAGATCTTGATGTATAAACCTCTCTTCTTGTATCGCAAAGCCCGAATTTAAAGTCACACGAGGCCTGTGTAGACCAAGACTATGCCAGAGTCCGCCAAAATTGAAATTATCCTGACATGCCGGTCATCCCGAGGTTTCATGCAGATGGCGCTGTTTCTTTGGAACTTGCAAGACGGGACTTCTTCGAAGCTCCTCGGCTCCGGGGCAAATTGCGGAAGCTTTTCCTACAAAGGTGCAAGAACCGATGGCAGATTCTGCAAACCGTCAACTTGAACCCGACCCGCAATGCACGAACCCTTGGCCCCTAAATCTCAAACTTTACCACCCCGACCGATTTCCCCAACTCAAGCTCTTTGCATCAACCCTCCAAGCCTTTCACCAGAGACTGCAGACTCAAAACATCGAGCCCCAGCTCTTCGAGGCGACAAAACCCTGATGACCTGCATCAAGTGTTTAGGCCGGGATGAATTGGAAGCTTGACGCTCGCAAACCCCAGACAGCGCGGCCAGAAGTAGGAGCTGTGTTCGGTTTTGATGACGGCGCATCTGATTGCGCGTGTTGTAGGCGCACATGCGAGAGAGGAGGCCTTGTTGCATGTACTTGCATACACACGTTCGAACAGGCGCCCACACACACAAGCACCACATGTATGAACAAATGCAAGCAGATGCAGACGCATCACTGGAAACATTTGCACTATCAGACTACATGTTTGCATGTGGCCGTGCACTTACAGTTCTTGAAAACGTACGTGCGAACTTACGTACGCATGCAGGTATACATTCTAGTCGTACCTGTACAGTATGAGTTGAGCCGTATGTCAGGTTCCAGTTCTCCAGCAGCGAAGCCTTCCAAGCCTGGAGTGGTGGCGCAGAGGTCGACTGGACACGCTGCTTGGTGTGCAGCAAGTGGCCATTCGAAGGAGTATTTCGGATAGGATCTGGGTGTGAGGCAGAGGTCTCGGTGTTCAAGAAGCAAGCTGGGCAAGCCCATGGGGGTGAATTCCTTTACGATTTTCGGTAGCTGCAGTGTTTAGTGTCGAGGCCTTGTTTTGCAGGATTTCTTGCCGGCAGCGGCCATGCATGAGGTCTGTATTGCTTCTGCTAGCTCTACCGTGCCAGCTGTCAGGACTACTTCAGCGGCCTAAAGTCCGCAACTGTATGACATGGCTTGGAATGCAATTTCTCTACACCATCTGCCGACTGCAGCTTCGAGCGTCGAAATGCTGCCAGCCCTTTCTCGGCATGTCGGAAAACAGTCCTGGAAGTCGAGCATGACGGGGGCCGTCGTCGTGCTTTTCTGGATGCACGATGGAAGGTGCTTCGCCAACCCAACTCAAGCAATCGCAGGTGGAGAGCTGTCAAGGCTTCATCTTCGCCCTAGATTGCAATTGAGCCATCATTAGCCCCACAAGTTTCGAGGCCGTCGGGCTGTGGCATGGACACTCACTGGCGGGTCGCTCGCAGTCATGGCCACCAATCTGAAAGGGCATGAGGGGATTTTATCGTTGCGTGGATGTTCAAAACTCCAATCATGTGCAGATCTCGAACTGGCGACAGCTGCAGTCCGTTGATGATTCCGGGATATTCCAAGCATTTAGGTCCAAGCCAAAGAAAATTAAATGGCCTAGGACACCCGCGTCTTGCAACCAGCCAAGCAAAAACGATGATTTCTGTTCTGGGCGCCGTCAGAAAGCACCGCAAGCCGATCTGAGGATCTCGACAGTGGAGCCCTTCGGCAGCTTGACGGCCAGGCAGCAGTGCCTGGGCAGCTTTCAAGCTCTTGGCCACAACTAACCTTCACGGCATGGGCAGTCAGCAGTGGACTTGAGTCTTCATGGCAATCAGGACTTATGTATTGTTTAGACACTGCCTTCCTGGAGTCAAGTTGCAAAGTCGCATCTGTGAGCCGGTAGACCATGATGGTGCCTGGTCCTATTCACAGCCGCACTCGGCCCCGAAGGTTCAAGAGATTTGAGGATTCCAGCAGGGCGGATTGCACTGTGGAGCTTTGTTTCACGAGTTCGTACCCATGTAGACTCTGCCTTCCAACATGCATTGGGGAATGTCTGAATCTCTTCCTTCCCTGAGTTGAATGCCACAGAGGGCCTCACGTCGCAGATACCCAGGTAACATGCGTTCGCTTGGAGGGGGCACCCGGCTCCTAAAGTGAGGATGACGTCTTTAGCGCCATGAGAGCATTGCGGTTCAAAATGTGTGGCATCGGAAGGGGGGGGGGTGTCAAGCTAGCAGGTATAAACGAATATGCATATATCACGCACATGTATATACTTATGTGTCTGTATATATATATATGAGCCCGACAC